TACTTTTCCTGACAATCGGACTTCTTATGGCTAAGTTTGCCACACCTAAAACACCTAGATTCTCCGTCGTTATATTGATATGAAGCACTTCTTCCTTTTTTTCCTGCATCAGCACTCTTCTTGTCAATTCAAAAATAAACCAGATTCTTTCGAAAAAAAATCCTCATCGGAAAACACATTTGCTCGATTATTGACTCATTCTCTTCAGCTAGGTTAGCTTGTTTGTCCTTGCAAGATAGTCCCACAAACCATTCCTGAGTGAATTTTCAATTGCTCGAAGTTACGGAGCCTCGTCCCTCTAAACCTTTGAAAGATCAGAAAACCCTCCATGCCTTTGGTTCGTCGCCTTTTAATAGAAGCAAAAACAAATTAGACTTCCGGTGTAAACGCTGCACTAGCTCACACCATACGTCACGAACGCATTGAATACACCACGTCGATATTTAACACTATTTTCCAAAAACTTGAAAGATATAATCAGTTCACAACTTGAATGAATGCGCTGAGAATCTCCCTGGAGTTCTTATCAGCTGGATTGATAGGTTCGCTCCGTCTCCAATTCGCCATGTATCGAACAAGAAGAAGTCATGGGTATCAAATGCTGTTAAAATAGCCGCAAAAAGTCTCAAGCATACAGATCTGATAAACAAAACCCTACGGACGATAACAAGATCAAGTACACATCATCAAGAAACAAATCCAATGCGTTCAAGAAAAAGTCATTGAGAAAATTTTGCAGGGCTTAACTAAATACATCGGATTCTCATAAATTTCAAAAGGCAGTCGCACCATATCTTGGTTAAAAAAAGATCAAACCGTACATGGCGAAGTTAATGAAAGAAAGGCTCAAGAAATGAACGATTTCTTTGTTACAAATGGTCCAAACCATAGTGAAAAAATTGCAATAGCCGATACTAATTGTATTGAAAACGTTGAGCATTCAATGTTTTTCCCGAGAACTCAAGAAAAAAAGATGAAGTAGATAATCTCTGATTTACCACATAAGCTCAGATCGGGGTATGCTTACCGCAAAAGTTAAAATATGTAAGCCAATCATCGTACCATGGCTCACAAATTTCTCTAATGCCTGCTTTATTAGTAGTTGCTATCCCAGTTTCTTCAAAATTGCTCCATAAAGGCGGATTGAAAGATTTGTATGGAAATTATTGACCCATTTCTTTGTTATCAAAATTATCCAAGAATTTTGAGAAAACAATCTATTCCAGATTAAGTAAATATTTTGAAAATTGCATGAACTTGGTTTTCGTAGTAAACTAAGTACTGTTATAGCCATTTTCGAAGTAACAGAAGAGATTCGAAACTTGAAAGATCAGAAGAACAGAGAGGTGATGCTGGTTCTTTTGAATCTTAAGAAGGCTTTCGACAGAGTTAATCAATTAATATTACTGGATAAACTAGAGCAATATGGCGCTAGAGGAAAATCTCTTGTTCTTCTTAAAATTTACCTGGCAAATAGGAAACAGTTTTGTAATTTTGAACGAACTTTAACGCAATTTTCAAGATGTACTGTGTGGAGTACCTCAGGGTTCCGTTGAAAATGTTAGGAAGAAATTGGTCCGTTTTTGTGGAGTTGCTTATCGCCTCCGTAATGCGATGACTATTGCACAAATGATTACGTACTACAGCCTTTACGTTCCGCCATGCGTTCAATATGGAATTTTTAGGCATGGAGCAGTCCGTAAAAGTTCATTAGATTGTACTCAAAAGTTACAAAAGCGATTTTTTCGCATAATTTTTCGCAAAAGCTATCGACATTCCATATCGGATGAAAATGACAAAAAAAATAGCAACATTTCATGAATTGCATATTTATGAGCTTTTAAAAAAAAATGTGAATGAAGATTCGATGCGTAAATGTAAAACAAGCTTTTATTCCACAAGGTCATCTGCAAAAATTGTTTGTAATTTGCCAGCAATGCGAGGCAAACTCGAATTTTCCCCTCGTGTTATTAAATTGATGAACGTTTTATCCAATTGGAGCTTAGTTATCCAAACTTTTTTTGAAATCAAATTATGCCAAAAATGCATTCTGCCATTTAATACTAGATTCGTATATTATAGGTAATAACTGCTTGATTAATGAGTTGTATCGTTAGACTCCATCTAGCCGTTTCTAACTTCCCTGAGTCCTCGGTTAAACCTGGAACACCTCTCGTCGAAGGGACCAGGCAGTGGACTCAAGGAAGGAAAGTTAGAAAAAATATGACGACTGGATTACCGACTTTAAATAGCTGGACCCACTTGTCTTTCTCATGGTAACTGAATAATTTTTTTGAACCAGTTCATACTCTAGTAAACATATGATCGTGTCCACTCTATTCTACTGGCTTAATTTTGAAAGAATTAAATTGAATAAAAATTGTGTGCGCTTAATCTAATTTGTCCTAAAAAGGCCTCTTGTTTGATCTTTATTTCATTTAGCTATTTTGATTTGATATGATGTCATTGATATTTACTTTTTACGAGGTAGCCATCAACAAGCCTCACGGCTTTCTGGCTGTCCTATCATGAAAACTGCAAATTGTAAATTTTGTTATCGAGTGTTAGATTGCTCATGATGAATAAATAAATTAAAAAAATAACACAGAGGCGAGTCTGCACTTTGCAAACACTAGCGAGAATACGACAAAAAGCAGCTCTAAAAAAGGCAAATAAGTCTCAAATTAGTAAAGATTCAGCAAAGTATCGCATTTGATCTGCGACCTAGAGATTATGAATCTCACGCACTAACCACTCAGCTACGGATGCGTAATTAATCACAAACACTAGTCACAATTGAAGCAGAGAACAGTGTCTTCTCAAGTCCAGTATACTGTTTACCTGTCCCCAAAATCTCTTAATACAGTAGATTCCTCTTCGAAAACGCCCTTCCTGCTTTTTCTCACTAGTCTGTGGAATAGAAGAAAGCCTCTGGGGCCATAACCTGGAGTTCTTTCTTTAATATAATCAATTATCTATCCCAACTGTTGGTTTCAATTAAGGCGGTGATTGGATTCTATCAAAGCAAATGACAACAATGAATCATCATCATAAAAGTCACGGGACAGAGGTTACCGGAAAATTTTCTTGCAGTTCAAACCACAAAAAAGGGCTTCAATAAGAATTATCACTAGTGAGATTTTCTCTACTTTTTCTTTATCTGAACTCAATAATTGAGAAAAAAAAAGATCAATTTGATTATTTATTTTCAATTCTTAAAGGTGTTTTGAAACGTCAACTAGCCTACACCCACATTAGCCTAAAGAGAACGATTATAAAATATTGCCCATTTTTTCGGCTAGTTCCATATGACAAGGCTATAGACTTCTTTTCAAAGTACTTTCATGAACACTGAAACATTAACGCAGCCATGTTTAAAACAATTTTACTAACACTTCGATTAAACCACCTCAATAAAAATTTCAAAACGCCGCTTAGTACAAACTGAAATAAAGAGATGTTCAAGTATTTCTTTGCTTCTTGTCTCATGTAATGCCGAGAATCTTGCATTTTGATTAAACTCAGTCAACGAAAAAATGTTAAGATCCCAAGAAACGCGAATAACGTTCGGTAGTCACCAGCTGGAATATTTATTTTAGTCAATTCTATAATATTTGATAGTATTTGATCAAAATGCAAAAACGTGAACTGAGAGTTAAGATAAATTTAGTAGATAACTTGAATCACATTCTGCAAAACAAAGTTCAAAAAATTCTCTAATTTTTCTTTATCTGAACTCAATAATTGAGAAAAAAAGATCAATTTGATTATTTATTTTCAATTCTTAAAGGTGTTTTGAAATGTTAACTAGCCTACAGCCACATAAGCCTAGAGAGAACGATTATAAAATAATGCCCATTTTTTCGTCTAGTTCCACATGACAAGGCTATAGACTTCTTTTCAAAGTGCTTTCATGAACACATTAAACATTACCGCAGCCATGTTTAAAATAATTTTACTAAAACTTCGATTAAAGCACCTCAATAATAATTTCAAAACGCCGCTTAGTAAAAACTGAAATAAAGAGATGTTTAAGTAATTCTTTGCTTCTTGTGTCATGTAATGCCGAGAATCTTGCATTTTGATTAAACTCAGTCAACGAAAAAATGTTAAGATCCCAAGAAACGCGAATAACGTTCGGTAGTCACCAGCTGGAATATTTATTTTAGTCAATTCTATATTATTTGATAGTATTTGATCAAAATGCAAAAACGTGAACTGAGAGTTAAGATAAACTTCGTAGCGAACTTGAATCACATTCTGCAAAAGAAAGTTCAAAAATTTCTCTAATTTTTCTTTATCTGAACTCAATAATTGAGAAAAAAAAGATTAATTTGATTACTTATTTTCAATTCTTAAAGGTGTTTTGAAACGTCAACTAGCCTACAGTCACATAAGCCTAAAGAGAACGATTATAAAATACTGCCCATTTTTTCGTCTAGTTCCACATCAATGACAAGGCTATGGACTTCTTTTCAAAGTGCTTTCATGAACACTAAAACATTAGCGCAGCCATGTTTAAAACAATTTTACTAACACTTCGATTAAACCACCTCAATAAAAATTTCAAAACGCCGCTTAGTAAAAACTGAAACAAAGAGATGTTCAAGTAATTCTTTGATTCTTGTGTCATGTAATGCCGAGAATCTTGCATTTTGATTAAAACATTAGCGCAGCCATGTTTAAAACAATTTTACTAACACTTCGATTAAACCACCTCAATAAAAATTTCAAAACGCCGCTTAGTAAAAACTGAAACAAAGAGATGTTCAAGTAATTCTTTGATTCTTGTGTCATGTAATGCCGAGAATCTTGCATTTTGATTAAACTCAGTCAACGAAAAAATGTTAAGATCCCAAGAAACGCGAATAACGTTCGGTAGTCACCAGCTGGAATATTTATTTTAGTCAATTCTATATTGTTTGATAGTATTTGATGAAAATGCAAAGACGTGAACTGAGAGTTAAGGACAAATTTTGTAGCTTAATAGCATTACTAACCGTTTCTTCTTCAAAACTCCTCTCATGAAAATTGACATATCGGAAACAACATGGGAAGAATCAGGCATAGATACGTTGGACATCCGGAACATGGATGATATATGGGAGGCTCCATTCGAGAAAAAGTTAGATGGTCCAACACTAACCATTCCTGATTCAACACTTAAATCTGACTCAGGGGACAAATTATGAAAGATATTTGCTCCGGATTGGAACCCGTTGAAGTCCCCACTTTGACTGTTATCACATTGACCATAAGATTCTGTCGCAGATTCGCTTCTTTGAATTTTGTTTTCTTCGAAAGTATCACTCAAACTGAAGCTTGATACACTAGGTTGGGTTATTTTGGAGCTGGATGGGCTGGATGTTTTGTCCAGATTTTGGTACGAGTTCCACCACAACTTTCGTTTCATGGTGCCAACGGCGCCTGTTTTTACAGACTTGTTTGAGATGGTCAATGTCTCGCTGTCTGTAGGCATGATTTCATATTACAACCATGGGCTGTGATTTTAAACAATTAGGTCAAAACACGCAGGGTAAAATATCTCCAGCTTCAGTCGCTATCCGTTCAGAAAAGATAAATTAATGATTCTGGCATTCAAATGATGGTCTTAACAAGATTGATTCTGGTATGAAAGAACGCTATTTTCACGTCAGTAATTAAATTTCCGAATAATAGATATGTAATAACAAAGTTTATGGCTCGAGTATAATGTTGTATATGAATTGATACGTTCAATGATTTTATTCTCTTCTGGGAACTTTCATTTTTTTCTTTTGTTATTGAGGCATTAAAACAACCAACAATTTCTCTGACTCAACATAAGTTTAAAGGAAACAAGAAAACTCTCTTCGTTTTGAATGGAGATTTTAAACTCATAAATCGATTGCATGACACAGCAGATGTTTCAGCAATTAGCTAAACTACGAGACAAGTCACGTTTGAGTGGATATCCCAAAGTCAACTTAAGACCAATTTGAGGAAACGTCACATCAGCCATCATATCGGGGATGGCGATTTTTCAAGACCCGCCATACGTCCACCTTTCATCCTCTTTTGTGCAATACACAAAGACTAAACTGGTATAAATAAAACAAAACCCTTATACGGGCAATAAGTGATATAATTTTTTAAAAGCTTCATTCAAATCAATACACTGAGGGGTATTAATGCATGAATCGATGTAAATATAGAAATATGGAAAAACTGGATATAAACAGAATTTCGTTCAACGACGCACCATTTTGAGAGGGGAGTGAAAAAATATATCGACCAACGATGAAAATTGATGTCAAATAGATGTACTTTTGAGTACTGAACAACACAAATTTATTTCAAAACAGTGCAAATAACATTACCGGTAAGGATAACACTTGACTTTGTTTGGATAGGATTGCAATGCAAAAAAGATAGCTTTAAAAAGTGCTAGCATACACATATATTAAAACGTTAGCGTTTGTAACGAAACAGATGTTTTAGCAAGACTCGTTTAAAACAAGTACATTAGTTTTTTTTTTTTCACTCAAAGCAGGACTGGCAGTAAAAATAAATCTGAATATACGACCAATCTTACGTATACGTACTATTGAGGTGGCTTCGACCAAATACCAGATTCGATTTTTTGTTGAGTACCGATTTTCAAGTGTCGACTAACATTTGATATTTGAGCGGGAATGAAATTCGGTTTCGGATTTTCTTGTTTAATTTTTCAGAACCTTGTATTGGTGACTATATTCCCACAACAAAACATAGCCAACAGATAGTTGGAAAAATCAATGAACGCATCTAAAAAGAAGAAAAAATACTGAACTTTCGAATTTCGAAAAAAAAATAGATGGCGTTAAAGCTCTTTGAATTTCTAGAACAAGTTATGATTGGTATTTTTTTTGATAAAAGCAACCTAATTTGAGAAAATTAGATCAGCAGGTAAATCTTTAATTACGCAGGGAAATATGAAAATTACATTCCATTTTCGAAATGATAGCGCTTGCTAATCGCTAGCGTAACTAGAAATCAATCACGTTCTTGTGACCTTTACACTTTTGTTGTTCGATAAAAAAAGTTTACCTTCCTATCAACAAAGGAAGTCAGTTTAACTTCAAATAAAATCAAGTCAAACCGAAAAAGTAAATTTGAGCCTGAACAAATTTTAAAATTTTTTCTGAAAAGAAAACGAAAAAAAAACATCACGACCTATGTAAGAGTATGAACTACTCTCATCAACTCAATATAACTTAAATATTGCTGGTTTTACATAACTATGATTGTCAAAAAGTTTTAATATGATTGTCAAACTTATTTTCAAAAACTTTGTTTCTTTTTTAGTCATAGGACCATTAACTTTCTGAGTTCGTTCGAGACACAATAAGAAGACCCTACTTTGTTTTAAAAAAATTAAGCGCCAGCTTAATGTTTAGAAAAAACAGGCCGAAAAAACCTTTTAGGGCACTTTTTGTGAGGCTTTGACAAAAAAAATTGCGTTTTTCCGGTGCGCTCCCCCTCAAAATCAGTGTATACTTTAGGTTCGGTCGGCCAAAACTGGATGTCGCAAAAAACACCAACTCATATAAATATCACGACCGATTTAATTATCTTCACTACGTGTATTGACACATGAAAAAAATCACCTCAATTCATAAATCAAGGAAAACAATTTTTCAAACATTTGGGCGAACTTTCGTGGAATTCAATTACCCGAACCATTACGAAAGTAAACAGAAATCAGTTTTAATTATAGTAAACATTGTTTAAATCAGAAGACGCGGTAGAAAGTTAGCCTACAAAAAGCAGACAAATGATAGCACAACTAAAATTTTCCAAAAAGAAATCTTTCAATTTTAAAATCTAGGGCTAATGGCGGGACACGAACGCACAACTTTGTCTACACTATGCGTGCAAAGTAGTAACGGAAACTTGATAATACAAAAAAGCAATCTGATGAATTCTGTGAACAAACTTTTCAACGGAAAAAAATCTAGTACCCAGTTGCAATACGTTTGCCAATCGCAAGGGCAAATGAGCAAAAGATATCAAAACAACCAACAAGCTCGTAGATAATCGTGCTAGCAAATTGAAAGTTCGTTAGTCAAAACTTGAATTCGAAATACATGTTCACAAAAACCTCTCGAGGAAAAATCTGTTTTTTTTGCTTAAATAATTTACCTCAAGGGGAGCAGATGAGATGAAAAAGAATAACAATAAGACCCAATTTCACAATGTTTATTTTTTTCACCAGTTTTAGCTTTTGCTGTCTTATTATTGCAGATTAACTTCAACAACCTTCCCCCACCCAAAGGGGTGGCTTCTCAAGTCTAAACATTCTGTGTTACTTAGACAGTCACCAGCTCTTCTGTTGCATTTGAGCTAACTTATCGAACAAAAAATACTCGCACAAAAGATTCACGAAAATGTAGAAAAACAGAGATCCAAGAGCGAATAACCAAAAACCAAGAAAAACAACCGCATTAAACTAAGATCTTGAAACTTTCAATCTAAACAAGAGGCTAAAGCCATTGAATGTTTTTATTTGACAGACGGTTTTCTGCCATTCGCTCTGTTGATTCACAACATAAACTAGAATCTCCTGAAAGAATGCACGTACCTGGTAATTGTATCCACAAATGCGTACAGTTCAAATCCAAAGTCAATGTCTAACTGCAAACCAGTAATGGGTGATGAAATATTACTTTTTGTGACATTAATGTCGTTTAGGTGCTGTTCAGCACCCCTGGTCGACACGTACATGTTATGGTATAAGAAAAAGGCCTACTCAGTTCTAATGAAGCCAGAAGGTAAGATTAAACTATTTCAAGGAAATAAGTAGGTAAGACAAAGCATGCAGCAAGTAGGGATTAAAGCAAGATGTATATGTTAACAGATCTCAGTTGGAAATTCTCGTGAGAGAGGAAGCTACCTAGTTAGGAAATTACGCAACACACTTGATTTGAAAAACCCTATTACAACCGAGTGCTTCCTACTTGCTATATAAAAACTTATTCCAAAGGAAGCTATTAGGTCGCGTTTTAACAGCCGTTGTTAATTAACATAATGAAATTTAAAAATGGTCCAACATTAAAAACTTTTACAATACAACCATTGCAGTACTATATTAAAGTATTACAGAAATTAAGTTCAAATATTAAAGGTCCTAAAATTTCAGCGGCTACAAAATTTTACAAATTTGGAAAGTCGGAAACATACGTCAGATTCAATAAAATCTATTCTCAATAATTTTTATCTAACTTCGGCATGGTTAACGTAAGATATAAAAGGTTGATTTGTTATCAGTTGTTAATGTTAAATCGAGGGAAAAGAATAAAAATATTACTGAAGTTAAGGCAGGTATATTTAATTTGTTGAAAATAACACGATTAAAAAGTACGCAATTTGCATCAGCCTCGGAATTTTTCACGCTTTCATAAGTTAACGCAAGCGCACTTTAACGGATTCCGGGAATAATTAAAGGAAAAAGCATTAATTAAAATACCATTTTTATTCGTACATTTCACGTAGAAAAGAAGGTATATTTGAGTTTCATTTCAGGCATCTTAATGGGGGGGGGGCGGAAACCCCCAAAATAAAAAGCGTGATTATAATGAACTTACAGAGTGCTAGTCGGATTGCCGGATAGAAAGTTCCCTGACCGGTAGGCGGACACTTCTCCAATGGAATTCATCTTGAGACGAGAATTAAACAGCAACAAATGTACAAATAGACACTCTCAAGATCACACTAGCCTGTAACACAGAGGCAAAATTGCTAAAAAACACACAAGCAAAAAACTAAACTTCTAAAATGAAGTCAACTACTGCTGATTTTAAGATCGTTTCCTCTCAAACAAAAACACCATGCCAATCAGAACGTGATTGCCCGCATTACTGCCAAATGCCAAACATTAGCCCCTAGGTCACAGTCGCTACAACGAAAAAACATGCATTTTGACACTCTCAATTCGGGTTGCCAGAGTTTTCCAAAGTCTTCCCGGTGAATGGCAAGGCGACGGGTCTGAACTAGACAGTGAACTTAATGACGAGCAGAACAAACAAAAAGAAGCCATTTTGGCGGGTACTTGAACGAATAAGGCCTTAACCGAATAACTGTTTCAAAACCAGTTTCCCTTTAAATCGAACAAAAACAAGACTATTTGCTGTAATAAATTGTGATTAAATATTCTGCTAATAATTTTCTTCTAATGGGGTGCCTTGCTTCTGATTTGTTTGCTTTACTTTCTCTCGTAATTGCCTATTAAGTTCACTGTCTGTATCAGACCCGCCATCTTGACATTCACCGTCTTCCTTTTTTAAGACTGTTATACGGCATCCATTTTTGGTTGGCCAACACCAAATTTTTTCTGAAGGAGCCTTGAACGCCAATATACACTAAATTTAAGGGGAAATTCCCCGCAGAAATTTTTAGCAAAAATGCAGAAAAGATAGGTTCATTATATGGTTTCCGGAAAATTCCGAAATCAATTTGGTCGATTTAAACCAAAGGTCGACACTGCCTTTACAAAACTGCCCCTCATAAGTTTTTATTTAAGTTAACCTAAATATACAAATACATACTTAAAATGTTTCACTAAACTAAAGCAAACCAAACAACGCGCGAGCTTTTAAAGAAATTTACACCTTTTGAACAATTTTTCCATTTCAAGAAAACTTTATGATTGACATTTCTTAAAAATAAAACTAAGCCAATTTGAAAAGGATAAATCAAAGGTTATTATTAACTTGACTGTATAATTTTAAAACATATCCAACATACGGTAAGACAAGAGTCAATGAACGCAAGAAAACAGAAAAAAAAATAATGACCTGTTGTTTGGGAAACGTTAACTCTCGGTTTTCAAAAAAAGCATGACGTTAAAGCTCTTTGAATTTCACGAACAAGATCAAATTGACTGTTTTCGATAAAATTAACCCAATTCCAGAAAACTGGATCGGAAGCGAAATTTTTAAGATTTTAAATCAACTGTGAAAATAGAAGTCGATGAGAATTTTTGTGACCTTTACACTTTTGCTGTCCGATATTGGAATTTACCACTACAAGTAAAAAAAAACTATCTTTTAATTACTATTACTAATAATTGCCACTATAAACAAAGAATCATCAAGACCTATATAAGAGTGTTCACTAGGTTCATTGACACTTGAAAATCAAATCGGCATTCAATCAGAAGGTGAGGCATAGTTTTTTTTAAGCCATTACCATTTTTGTTACAGGAAAATCAAAATAGAAAAATAAACAAAAACAAATAACGATACGACCTAAAAACCAGTAATAGTCAGGAATTAAACATATGCAGAAAAATACCT